CTGTGTATGTGTGTGCCGCGTGTAATTCATAGAAATAGCCTCCAATAGCACAAAGAAAAATGCAAGAGGATAACTCCTGCATTTGAATATTAATTCAATAGAATTAGGGAACAAATCCGTTAAAAAAACTATTTTTTAATCAAATTTATTTTAGATATTATAATTTGATAACGATTGGAGGAATACGATTGTTAGTAGCCACATTCCCTATGCCTCCTTGATCAGTTATTCGATATTTTTTTTAGAGTGTCCCCTCTTATTGACCTAGCCTACCTCCTTTGGTACCACCCCCGCCTACAACCATGACCATGTCAGCATTTTTAACTTGCATGTGTTAAAAACGAAAACCGGGTAAAGCAAAGACAAACGAGTCCGGGACATGCCAGGCCAAGAACTGAGCCACTACAATGACCCCCTCCCCACCACTCGTCGTCTATCCCTCTTGCTTTGCTGCCCCCGTCTCTTTCGAGGGGCCCTGTTGCCATCTCTTTCGTTCGCTGTTCAAAGCTTGCCAAGAGCAGAGCTCTTCAATTCAATTCAACTGCGCCATGTTCATTGTTTATTTTTCATTTAATTTTACACTATTTTTTCCCTGCCCGCTTCATTCTCGTCTCGGGTTTTATTTTTTGTTCTCTCCCATCTTCGAGGGCGGGAGTGAGTCCATTTGGCACTCAAAAGATACCCTGGATTTTGCTATGAATTCAAAGGATAAAACTTTACATATCTTCGAAACTATAGAGATAGAGATCTAGTGACCTTAAAATCAGCTGAAGAAGATAATTATTTAGTTAGGAAATACATATATCTATAAGTCTGCTGTTGATATTTATAGAGTTTAAACCCATGCATCTTTTTTAATACTATATCCCCCATGAGGTATTTTTATCTCCTTTATCATCTAGAAATTTTTTCCCTTGTCTTGTTTTTTTTTTGTTTAGTTTCAGCAGCAGAAATTCAATTATAGGAACGAAACGAAACGGAACGTAACGGAACTCAGGGCGAGAGGGCGTAGGGGAACGGCTAGGTCATCTAGGGGGCGTGGCCAGTCCGGGTGGGTGGCAAGGTTTCGGGTGGAAGATGAGGAGAGCAAATTTTCGGCGCGTAAATGACAAAAGTTTTGTAGCACTCGAATGTTGATCTTTAGTCAGGTCTAGGATGTGGGCGGTGGGTTGGACGAGGCGTGGCATCTGGAACACACGGTAAACGGGCAACATCGTTAGCTAACTGACAGGCAGAGGGGCAGGGGCGGTGGGTGGTGAAGGGATGAGGCGGGTGTTGAGCCAAAGGGGCGCGGTAAGTGGCATCCTTGAAAGTTGCGTTGAGGCGCCGCACGCAATTTGCCGCAACAACAACGACGACACAGTGTTTCTTCTGCCCACCGCCCACAAAACAAAAAAAAAGATGGCAACAAAAAGTATATAATAAAATCAAAACAAAGGTCATTACAGAAAGAGAAGCAATGCGGGTATGAGTGAGATAGAAAGGCTGCGTGCCATGGGGCAATACACTGAAATTTAAGCTGAATGGATTTTAAGAAGGAAGTAATGTTCTTTAAGTGAGAATTGAAATAACAATTTTCTCATAAATAACTATTTTAAATGGATGGAACAGATGTCTTTACTTCTGGCCTTGTCCTTCATATGTTTTTGTGACACATTTGATAGTCCATGTTTTTCTCTCAGTGCATGTATGTGCAGGACTCGAGCTGAGTCTGATTCTGAGGCTGCGGCTGACAGGAGCTGAACTGAACTCGAGTCGCTGTAGTTGGCAGACAGCTGCGACAGCCACGAGCTCTCCGCCCGAGACCAAAATGTGCCAAATTGAGATAAAGAACCATTGAGAATTTAGTTGCAACCCAACTTGGCGGTTCACGAGCCGTCCGCCGGGGGCGCAGCTGTGCTACGAGGGGAGGGTAAAAAGTATTAAAGTTATTTTAATTGTATCGCTTTTTTGACAAAACATAAACATTTTATAAAAATCTTTTTTTTTCTAAGATTTTAGAGTTTTTCACTTCCATTAAACGGTACGGCTTTCCATTTTCTGTTAATATTTCATTAAGTTATGAAGTTTCCAAGGGGATTTTGAAGGAGAGGTTGTTCTATTTAGCAAATTTATTGACTTTCTAAAGGCTTGATCGTATTGTTTTTATTATTGGGTTCAGTAAAGAAATGTTTGAATTTAAATTAACCCATAAAAAGAGACTCCAACCGGACATGAACACAAATTTTAAGCCAAAAAGAACAGGCTTTGTGCTTCTATCTGGCAGTATATAAAGCGCATAGGTGAATCCACCGGGAAGCGGATGATTGAGCGGCCATTAGTGATCATTACAGTAGAGAGAGAGAGAGAGAGAGAGAGAGAGCTCTGGCAGCTGGAGTCCAGTTCCAGAAGGACAACAAAACAATGGCCAGGGAGTCCTTTGTTGGCTGCCACCAAAAATTATTATTTGTGTGTGCCCCGTCGCTCCGTTGTCCTTTTGTTCGTGTGTCTGCGGTTTGTCTAACAAGGCATAAGGCACAAGACCATATTGTTTTCAAAAAACAATAACAGCTGCCGATGGTAAATGAGAGAGGGAGCCTAGAGTTCTCCGAGTTCCGAGTTCCAAGCACCAAGCTTCGAGCTAAGGACAATGAGCCACGTTCGGCGTAGAGTCAGTCGACAACAATTAAATAAAATAAACTTGCTTCAAATGTTATGTAAATGCAGTGCTCGACTTGCGCTAATTGAGTCGTCGTTGTTCTCATTATCCTTCGTCCTGCGTTTGCCTTTTATACTCTCGACAAATGAAAGGCATATTGCTACCCTATGATCCTATTTAATGGCAATAAAAGGCAATGTAATTTTTGCTCGATAATAGATTATATTTATGATGTTGGTAGGAAGAGTCTTTCTAGTTTCTTTTATCAAGACATTCTGTTTATAGAAATGATTCAAAAATATGTAAATTAAATTGATAAATAATTGTTTTTATCACTTAACAAATATGATTGATAGCCAATTAAATTACAGAATATCAATTTCGATTTTTAAAGGGTATTTTAGAGCATTATTCTGTTAATTTGCTGGAGCTGTCAACAAGACTGAGCGAAAGGAGCAACTGCCACCTTTTTCTGGCCTTATCCTTCTTGGCATGCTTGGCTCGGCTGTGGGCGGCTTTTAATGATGGATGAACTTAATTTTTATTGCGCGACCTTGAAATATATATAAATATATATAAAATAAAGCCAAAGGCATCGAGCGACCCAAGTTATTAACCGGGAAATATCAATCAGCATTTTACACTAGGCTGCCGGACGGATGTGTCAGGAAAACGGACGAAGGATGAGGCTTCGGTTTTCCCTTATCCTTGTCGGTAGGCATTAAAACAAAACGTATTAATTAATTGAGGCGGAAAATGCTGTAGCTTTCGAGGTTGGCTGTTGGGTGGGCTAGAGGTTTGGTTTTTTTTTTTTTGTTGGTGGTCTCCTTAGTGGATGCCAGTTGCATGTTGTCAACTTAGGAAAAGGGAAAATCAGTGGGAAAAAAAGCGGGTTTTGGGTTATTTAAGAATTTGACGTAAAGTTGGCTTCCTGACGATGACGGAAGGGTAAAACAGACTGGGAAAAAAGGTCTCTGATTTGACTCACTTTGTAAACTTAATGGCTCAATAATGTGCGTCGGTCGGGTTCATTGAAATAAGTGCCCAAATAAGTGAATTATAATGATTTTCGCGCCATTAAAATGGGACAAAGATTGTAAAGCCGAGTCATTGGGGGATATTCATGAGGAGTTAGGTTGGATAGCAAATGGTTTCAGTGGGTTAATTTTCTCCTTGTTTTAACTTGGTTAGAATTAGTCACACAGGAAAATAACTCGCTAACTGACTTACCCAGCTAACGACCTAACCTCTCGATTGAATAAGAAAATCTAGGTTTTAGGTAAAATTATGTGTATATTATTCTATTTATACAAAAAATCCTAAAAGCCTTCTTTGTTAATAATATGTATATTAATTGACAAGAGCATTGAAAGTGCATTTTCGATTTATTAAGGGAGTAACAAATTCTTGATTAAATCGACCAAAGCTCTTGAGAAACTTTGGCCAGCTAAGAAAGTAGTCCCATGTTTATGTCAGGCTAAAAACATTGTCAGTCTTCGTTAGCTCTAATTTCCAGTTGGGCCACATGAATCTCCGCCATACATTACTGCACCATTACACTGCAACACATTTCTCTCGCACACACACACACACACACATACCCACGCATTTCCAATTGCATTCGATGCTACCTCCCGAGAACTGAGTACTGAGTACCGAGTACTCGTTTTTGAGTCCCGGGCAAACCAAACCAAACTGAATCCTTCGACAAGACCCAGACCGAAACCGAGAACCAGATCCAGACCAAGATAATGCAGACTCCAACACAAAAAGCATCAATTTGCATGCAGCCTGACCACCAGCAACCGACAGTCGACAGTCGCCGATGGCCAGCGTTTTTGCATCTACACTGGGAAAAAAAGCAATAACAAATTGCTCTTTTTTTCCCATTAAGTTTTTATTTCCAATTACTTTCATTTGTCTAGTCTAATCAAAGTTAAATGTCATTTTTAATATGATAATGAGATTTAATAACCTGATTTCTCACTGTGTTCGACCACATCTATGTGTGGTCATCTCAGAGCCCCTCGACAGCACTTTGTTGGTGGCTGGCGGTTTCTGGTGGCTGCTGCTGGTGGTGCTTCATCACAATTCATTCAGCTTGAATCTGAATTCGTAGCCCGACACTGAATCCGAATCCGAATCCAAATCCGTGGATGTGTCCGTATCCGGGTGCGAGAATGGCGCTCTCTTTCATTAACCTTTCTGGCATCCAACATAATTCAATTTGGCATCAAGTCGAGCATTCCGCATCCGCAGAAGTACGTATATTTAGGGAGTCAGGGAGCGAGCCAGGCAGTGAGGAGTCAGAAGCCACCATTCAACATCACAGCGTCCCGTACCAACATTCAGCTCATTTGCATTAATGCCATGCACGTGTGCAATGCAGGGAGGGATGGGCGAAGGACGAAGGACCCTCGATTGCAGACTTCAGACTGCAAACTGCACATGGCGCACTGCCTCGAATTTTCATAAATAAATTGATTTGCTCCAGCTGGTGTAATTGTGGCTAACTGCGGTTAGCATTAATGACTGTCAATTGCCACTTACCTTATTAGCTGAAATGGATGCGTAAACTTTACTCAGCACATGGCTTTAATTAGAAACTGCAATTGCAGAAATGCTTCGAATTCTTAGAATATTCTTTTGTAAAATTTAAAAAATTATTTTAACTATTTTCTGGCCTCTTTGAAGAAAATCTGTTCACTGTTTGCTTTAAATATTACCGATGCACAGAATTGGACAAATGGTAGTTAGAATATCTATGAAATTCAAGATGTTTATTAAGAAGAGAAGAATTTTTATTTTTTGATATCATATTAATAAGGGAAATTTCTAACTGTGAAATTTCAACTAGAAAACAATTTCAATTGACAATCCATCACACATACGCAGCGTTGACATGCTGAAAATAAGAAGTGATAGATAATAGAAAAGTAAAAAATGTAATTTAAGGAAATTAAAATCCAAGCTATTTAAGCAATTATAAGGGTTAAGAAGCACAAAAACCTTCGGGAAATTCTTCTCTAGTCGCTTATTTCGCAATCAGTAGTAATAATTTTGACAAATTCCAACTAAAAGTCGTTTCATTCCCTCTTCACAACCTCCCCCTGTTTTCTAAAAATTCCCGCTGTACATTACGCATCCGCAACGTTGGCCGGCTGGCATTGAAAAACTGCATTCTGCATACTGCATTCGCAGGAACAACAGCAACAGCAGCAAACGGAAAAAAAAAAAACAAAAAAAAATAAGTCGTATTCACCAATTCACATTCGCGGCAGACGGTGCGCATGCCAGGGAAATTTTAACAGAGGGGAAATTCTTGTGCCGCAGCAAGGGCTTAACAGAAACTGTGCGAGTTTCAGTTGGCGAACAGCGGATGGAACAGCATTCTTGGCAGGATGCGAGAATGCCAACATGAAACAGTATGAAACAGGACTCAGCGCTGACGGCACGCGTTTCGCTTTGAGAGAGAGAGTTCCCAAAAGCCAAAATCACAGAAAGCAGCAGCAAAAAACGCGCTAAAGTCGCCAGTTGTCGTTGTCGTCGTCGAAAGTTGAAAGTCGGTTGTCGGTTGCCGTTGTTTCTTGTTTCTTGTTCTTGCTGCCGTTGCAGTCGTCGCCGTCGTCGTCGTCGGTTGTGTTGTCGTCGTCGTTTTGTTGTTGGATAATTTTTTCGTTGTTGTAGCTATTGTTGTTGTTGCCGCCGTCCCGCCGCCTCTGCCGCCCCGCCCCCTTCTCGTCTGTCTGTCTGCGTGAGCGTGTGTGCTGGTGTGTTGTGTCTGTGTCGCGCATGTGACCGCCTCAGCTGTAGGTTTTTTGTTGTTATTTTCAGTTTTCCTTTTTAAATATAGTTTTTGAATGATTATCTCATTGACCAACTATTTTTTTGATAACCCATCAATGTGGCACATAAAATCAGAAAATATAAAACAAAACCAAAAAATAAACAAATAAAAAAGAAGGCATAGGCAAACCACAACAAACAAAAAACAGCTGGCCAAACAAGTTGCAGGCTTTTTATGTTTTTTGTATCGTGTGTGTGTGTGTGTGTGGGGTTAACAAATTTTTAGTTGCAACTTTGTCGCGTTGGCGTAGAAAAGCAGCGCCCAAAACGCGTGCAAAACGCGCACAAAACGCTTACATAAGTTGGCCATTTGTAAGCGCGACTGTGTGTGTGTTTGTGTGTTTCTATTTTAAGGCAAGAAAATTACCTAACCAAATGCTTAATGCAACTAACTGAAATTCGACAAAAAGAAGAAAAAGCAAAACAAAAACGCGGGCTCTCTGAATTTTCGCTTGATGCGCGCGTCTTCTTGGCAACCAAAAAACAACAAAAAAAAAGAAAAACAAAAAATAGTACAAAAAAAAGTAGTTTGAAAATAAGAAAATGGGGTGGGAAGGAAGATAAGAAAAAGGAAGGGTTGGGTAAGGGTAAAGAAAACCGAAATTGTTACACGGTCATTGCGGAGGTCGCGCCAAACTAAAAGAGATTTTATTTGCGAGCTGCCAAGGCAACAACAGCCGAGGGGAATTAGAAATCAATTGACATGCAATGTTTCGTAATAATAAATTGAAAAGGGAAATCCCTGTCAAATGTACAACTTGTTGATTGCTATAAAAAATGGTATTTATTATTTTTAAAATTGTCAGAATAACTTTTAGGGTTTTAGGTACTAAATAATTTGAAAACTTTGTAGGTTTTTAAAATAGCAAAGCCATTAATACCTATTTACTTGGAATAATATTGAAGTGTTTTTAAAATAATTTTAAGAGATTAGACTTATTTAGGCGTCAAATGAATGATATAAAATATAATCTATAAAAAAAAAACGATTTTAATGGATATTAACAACCATTCTAAATACGTTCTAGAAATTCCCTTCATTTAGTTTGTTTTGATTTTAAGTTCAGATTTTTAGTTCAGATTTTCAGTTCACATTTGAAGTTCAGCTGAGCGAGACCAACCCACATTTTTTTTTTCTCTTTTTTTAATGTTCTAAACTAAAGAATATAACTTAAAAAAACCAAGGCTAAAACTTCTAAACAAATATTCGAAAATTCCGAATGAAAAAAGGTGTGCTTGTAAGCCGAAGGAACCGAATGCAAATTGAAAACTAAAGTTTGAGGAAACCTAAAACAAAAACAAGGAAGCGAACCCGTGTCCGTGTGAAGAGGACCACGTGGGCCAGTGTGCGTGTGCCGAGAAGGTGTGTGTGTGTGGATGAGGGGACACCACTACAGCAGCAGGCGAAATACTTTTTGTGCCAAGGTAAGATTAGCATTAGGACCAAAGTTAATGTTTTGTTTCTTGGGCTAGGCTAGGCAAATATGTGCCTCCGAATTTAAGAGACCGACAAAGTGGGTTAAGCCGAATTGGCAGCGGGAAATCATGGTTGGGCTTTAAAAGTTACAAGAAAAATAAAGATAATACTATAGAATATCCAATGTCGTCACGAAACTATAAATTTTGAAAATCTGATAGGTCATAAAATGCAGTAAACTTGGCATTGAGAACTTCTATTGATTTAGGTACAGATAGAAGTTATTAAATTATTTTTAATTACCACGCAGAACTAGGAACTATCCTGAGAAGACACTGACCACGCCCAGAATTTAATATTAAATTTGACAGAATATCCGTTGCTTATTTCTAAGTTCTGTTTTATTTTTGTGGAGGCAACTTTTGAGAATTGCCCCTGTGCGTATGCAATAGAAAATGTTTAAAATGTTTGCCAAACAATTTTGAGCGATTACGAAATGTGTGCGTGTTAGTCTGTGTATGTTTGTTCAAGGGGAAAATGAGTGTTGGTGTGTGCGTGTTTACGCGCTTGTGTGTGACATGAATGGCTCCAGTGGGAGTGGAAATGCCATTGTAGCTGCCATCGCGTGCTATTATTGATAAACATAGAAAAAATAGTATCAAAAACAGAATTATTTCTGTCAAAATCAAAGCTAACTAAAGTCAGGAAATCTCCATACCTAAATATAAGTATGTTGTGATTTTGGTTGACTTTTATATTGAGATAAATATTTAATTGGATTCAAAATGTATTCATTGACTGGGAAATTCTTGGAAAAACATATTTTTATATAATATATTAAAAAAAAATAAGTTTGAAACTAAGAGGACCCCTTTTTTTCACATGTACTTCTGCAGTTGTGGTGGCCAAAATAGCAAACGCGCCTCTATTTATTCATTTTAGCCAGCTTGTAGCTATTGTTTTCCACATTCTCTGTTCTCCCCTCGCCACTGCTGCCAGTCTTCACTCTGAAATCTCCATTCGGCACATTCTCTCCGCCGCTCTCCGTCCATCTTCAATCTGAATTCGGGGCTTTTAATTAAATGCAACAACAATAACGATGGCACTGCCAACAGAATCAAACAAAAGCCATTCGCACACTAAAACATGGCGTCGTGGGAAAATCGAGGGAAATCAGTGGAAAATCTAGAGGGGAAATGTCAAGGGGGGTTAAAATCCGAATGGCTGGGAAAAGTCAAGGGCCAAATGGATGCCCCCGAACTGTGACCAAAACAACAACAAATAACGATTTGTGCATGGAAATTAAACGAACTGATTAAATGTTGAATTAGAGAGACCAAAACGCCAAAAACCCTTCCACTCTCCGCTACACTTTTCGCGCACCCTTCATTTGCCATGGAAAACTAAATTGATGTTTATTATTCGTTTTGGTAAGATAGAAGAGCTTAGCGAAAAGTAATTAAGGCAAGTTTACTTAAGCGAGTAGATCGTTTTTTCAGCCTTTTTTTTTTGTTTTTGCGTAAAGTGTTGTTTGGTAAGTAAGGAATAAAGAGTCCTAAAGATTTTGTCAATAAGATTGCATTTAAATTTAATTACCAGAATTTATCAGGAAGAGTAAGAAGATTCTACTATTTTGCAAGTAATTATATTGCAATTTTAAGGAATATTTAGTTAAATCATTAAGTCGTTTTTGTGTTTAGGTTTGTGTTTAGGTTCCTTTCAATGGTTATTTATTATCCTTGTTGTTATTCAATTATTCATTTAATGTGATTAAAAATGGTCATATTTTATAGATGTATTATTGACTTTTCTTGTGATTATCAAATCGATTTAACTATATAAATACAGGGGTGGGCCTTTGATATATTAAATACATTCCGAATGCTAATCTAGTAAGATGCATTTGGATGCATTTTCCATGGTGGCTTAACTGCATTAGGCCAGCTAACTGACTTTTGTGCTTCGGCCATTCCTTTTTGCCGTAATTCTGGGGGCAATCGGGGCGATCCAGAAATTGGCTAATATAGTGTCGGCCAGCAGATGACCCACTTGGGGCTATGCTCTCTTCTGGCGTTGACTGTTTTGCATTTAAATCGTTTTAATTGTTGCCGAAAAACAAGCAAATGTCTGTTTATATGTGTGAGTATGGGTTTCAGTATGTTTCTCTGTGTTTCTCTTCTGTGTATTTCTGTTCAGAATGAATGAATGAATGAATGAATGAATGAATAAATGAACTTAGCATTTAGAATGTGGCTCTCGTTTCGCCATTGTTATGGCTTTGGGTCCGAGTTTCTGCACAATGGGTCGTATGAGCAACGTTTGGCTGGGGTGGATGTGCTCCTACGGCAACGTTGCTCATACGCCCCATTGTGCAGACAAATAAAATGTTAACATGAAAAAAATCGTTGTGGCCCCGGCCAAATGAAGAGATTATTGAAATGGGCAAAGACCAGGACCCTTCCTGACATTCGCTGAAAATTCAGCTCAAAACAAAGCCCAAGGGTGGCCTAGAAATGCCAAAAGGCCAGGCTATCAAACAGCCAAAGAACACTGCAAAAAAAAAATATATATATACAAGGGAAAAGGTAGCACTGCAAATTAAATTACCACCAATTAGATGTCAGCACACATGGATTGTTGCTCAATTAGTTAGGGGCTCACAAAAATAGTTAGCAAAAAGAAAGAAGGTTCCTGTTGTTACACACAGGAAAAGAATACTATGTTTCTCTGTTCCTTGTTGTTCTCAAAGTATTCATCTTTTAACTAAACAAATTAATTAAATTAGGAATTGTTAACTTTGTTAGTTGACTTTGTTGTATAATTTTAATATATAAAACAGGAAATCTATCTGTAGGCAAAAACGATTGTGGAAGTTTAATCCTAAGCATTGTAAGTAAAAATGTAGTACAAAAGATAGATAATATTTATTCTTATAGTAAGTCAAATCATATTAAACCTTAGTTGCCAAACCTATTTCGCTCAGTGTGACGACCTGGTCGAATGGTCTAATGTCCTTCTTCGACCCGCTCCTTGTGCTATCTTCATCTCACCGTTATCCTTGTCGTCGTCGTTTGCCTCGTTGCTTTTTATGGCCCATGTCAAACATTGCAAATCAGTTTAAACTAACAAGCGCCACTTGGATCTGCAAACCGGGGGGTTGGTTGGTGGATCTGGCAGTGGGCGTGGCCCTGTTTTGTCTGCATTGCAGCTGACGCCTTTCAAACGCAAAAAAGGATTAAAAAACAACAAAGCAAAGAAAAACAAAAATCGAGAAAGCTACAGAGAAACGACAGAAGTTTAAATTGTAGACAATTTTTTTTTTTTTTTAAATGTCCATTGACGATGGCTCAGTTGCCGTTTTTATTGCTCCCCTTAGTATGGAGGTCAATTTAAGGATCTGAATTATTGAGCGGGAAACTGAAACTCACACAGATGCACACACACATACACACACACAATGAAATACAGCATGAATACAGGTGCAGCGGGCATGCCTCGCTCACACACACAATTAACCAATTAGCACTTTTTCGCTTGTTTCTTGTTTTCTGGCGCCGGCCATTTTATGATTTTTTATTACCGCTTTATTGTTGTTTGTTGTAAACAAAAATTTTTGTTTGCTCATAAAAAACACAATTTTTAATTGCTGCCGCACAAAACAATGCCAAAAAAAAGGAAGAAGAAAAATAAAAATAATAAATAAAAAAAAAATAAAACAAGGCAAAGGCAAAAGGAGCGATATGAAAAATGTGTGAAAACTGTGAAACTTTGCAAAGGAAAAATAAAAAAAAAAGAACTGGAAAACAAAGAGTAGATGGACGGTGCAAAGAAGAGCGGCAGCTAATAAAAATGAATATAAAAGCCCAGAAGAAGAGATAAAGAGTGAAGGCAGCAGGCCTATTTGTGGTCCCAATTAGCTTACATCGAGGGGCTATTATTAAGTTGGATGATTGGATTAGGAATAGATAGGGATTTTGGGTTAGATTGTGCAAAAATAATAATTTCTGATTGCACTTATGAGTGATTCTTTAATTCCTGAAACTAATAATGTTTATATATTTTACTGCGACCAAATCGCACCTTCATTTCTCTGCTTAAACTTTGCAAGCGACCCCAACAACGGAGTCCTTGTCTTGCTTCCTTTCGTCCGGAATTTCCCGCACCGCTTCTTTCTTCTCATATTTCGCACTTTCCGTGCGGTTTTCAATGTGTTTTCCTCATTTTTTCCTCCTCGTTGAGGGCGAATTTTTTTCTTTTTTTTTTTTGGTAGGCCACAGTCAACGCACAAAATGCGTAAAATAAAAAATTATAATAAATATATATACATTTTTTTTTTTCGTTACTTCCTGCCGTGCTGGCCCTTCTCCCCATTTCACTTTTTTTCACTGGCATTTTCACTTCCCTTTTGCTGGTTCGGTGGCCGTTTTTCCTGATTCGCGTAAACTTTTTAATAGCACTGAAAATTCCTCGAAAAAAGCCGCAGGAAGCATTTTGAGATTTGCGATGATGACGATGGCCCTTCTCTTAGCCTGTGTAAGGATGTGTGTGAGTCAAGGACGTGCGTGTGTATATTCTTTTTTAGGGGTATGGTGGAAATTTTAAATAATAAGCTTGGCGAATTTTCCACTTGCGTAAGTTGCTTCTTTACGAAAGGGAGCAATCGCGGGGAACCCATTCAAAGAGCTAATTTAACTCAAGGGATTAAGTATTTCCATTTGATAAGTAACCTTACATGATGAAAATTAAAAATGACGTTAAGCCTAAGTAATGTTGATTTGTTTTAGGAAAATCTGATAATGAGAATAATACTCTGTACAAATATATAAAGTTTTAAAAGCAATAAAGTCTATTAGTTTTCTTTTGCTTTGCATTTCTTGCTTGAAATATCTTCAATGTATTTTATTTAAATGAAATATATGTATGGGAAATTTGAAAATATTTGCCCAGTTTGAGCAAACATTAGCTCGTTTGACAAACTGCAAACATATATCTACAAATATTTGTGCAT